TTATATATATATATATATATATATATATATATATATATATATATATATATATATATTCACATATTAATTTACACATGTGGGACCCCGGTTATTGAAGTTGGCCGCATAGCATTTGCAATTTTACATGCACAAAACATGAATCCTTTTATATATATATGTGGCCCAGGTTAGCCACTTGGGCTTTTTAAATTCATATATATATATGGATGATATTAGATTTAAACCTTCAAAACCTTCGGCCGACTTTGCACAAATACCTACAAATTCTAGCTTCCACGAAAACCCCCAAGACTCCTGCCCAAAAACTTGTGGTCTTTCGGCCGCCAAAAACTGGGCAGCAATAGCAAAGTATCCGGCCGCATCTATTCGAGAAAAGCTGGGCACATTTCCTTGGGCAACAAAAAGTCTGGCCGCATGAATCCATTTCGAGCCCGGCCTCATTTTTCCAAACCTGCCCCGCCACTTCCAAGGCCTTCCAGATCTGCCCAGCCGCACCTTCAGCTCTCTAAGTCTCGGCCGCGATTCCTTTTAATATAACCGGCCGCCATTTTCCTTCCAGCATTATTCTAACAATACCCGGCCGCATTTCACAATAGACCCGGCCGCATTTTGCGATAGACCCGGCCGATCTCTCCCAACCAAGTAAAATATCGGCCGCATTTTTTCCACACCCCAGGCCGCATCTCAAGCCTCTCACCCCGGCCGACTTCTATTCTTTTATGCCCAACCAATTCTCTATTTCCAAAAGGCACCCAGGTTTGGTGAATTCTCACCACCCTCAAACAGTATCATTTAGAGGTGGCCAAGGTGACCGTTAAATAAAGTTGTGATTGTGTGATTGCACTATCTAAGCTAAGTATGCACGTTCATCATTTTAGGTTTTTTCAGTGCCATCCTCTCAAATTGAAACTTATGATTTACTTTATATGGAAGAAATTCCGTACCATACAAAACTCGGAATTTTTGTTTAAGCTTGCATGTTACGAGAGTAATTATATGTTGGCGCTTTTATTGTTATGTTGTCTCTTGAGATGCAAATACAATTGCATTACTTATATTCGATTCAATCATAAATGAGCTACATAAAGTATAGAGTTGACATACAAAATTTTCACAAAATTTAGATACTCAAAAATCGATTGGTTAGGTTAAAGTCGATCATCCTTAAATTTATTGGTATAGAGAAATGTAAACTTTTGTCTTAATTACGAGAGTGTATGACTAATGTATCTCTCTTTTGTTGTTGAATACAAACGATAGTCTAAACTACAATTGAAAGGGGGTTTCTCACACACACTATCAAAGTGTCATGGAATTCGAAGATGAGATTAATGGTTTGCAAGTCAAAGCCTATTTTAACTGAGTTAAACATGTTGACCTAATGTATCTAATTTATAATTTAGCGTTCAACATATATTTACATGGTCTAAGTACGATGATCAGTTAATAAGATTGTAAAATTTTTTTGTGGATAAAAATTCAAGTTAGTACTAGTTATGAGATACCATTATTTAATCAGGTTAGGTGAAAATTTTCCATTAGTAATTGGTCACAAGCTAATTAATACTGCCCAAACATCACCAAGTAGTAAAATGAGCACCACCATTATACCCCAAAGTCGCACCCCTGCCCAACTTACCAGAAAACCAAATGCCAAGAAAACCAAGGGAACAAAGGAAAAAGGAAAAAAAATCAAATTTGAGCCCACATTCTATAAATCACACCATAAACAATCACTTCCTTCACTTGTACTTCTCAAATCCCAACCCACATAACTATAATTAAAATCCCCCAAAAAATTGAAATCCCCCAGAAATACGTTTCTCTTTCTCTTTACAAAACAGGCGCAAATAGACCCGTACCAGAGAGAAAGAGAAAGAGAGAAGAAAATGGCTATGGCTCGGGCGAGCTCGGGGCTCCAATACCCCGAGCGGTTTTACGCGGCGGCCTCCTACGCTGGCTTCGACGGATCTCCTCGTTCCTCCTCCAAAGCCGTCCGCTCCAAGTTCAACTCCGAGTCCGCTCTCATACTCTATGCTTTGTACCAGCAGGTACCTCCATCCACTGCCTCCTCGATCCCATTCCTCTCACTTTTTTCTTTCTACTTCATTTCTGCTCTGGAAATCGATCTCAATCATAAATCCTCGATTCTCGATCGCATTGCCAGTACAAATGTCAATTCCGCGGTTAATTGTCTTTTTTTTTTTCACTCTGGAACAACATTTGCGATGTTCGTATTTTCTATTTGCAATCGTTTTGTTTTGTAATTTTTGATTGGATTTCGGTGCACCGGTGTGGTTGATTTGCGGTTTGACGTGGTTTTGATTAGTGATGTGGTTGTTGATTTTGCTTGTTCAGTAGTGTGTTCGATTTTGCGTTGATTCTTTCGTGTTTACGTTGTGTAATTATATGCAACTTAGATTGAATTAGGTAGATCTGGCATATCGAAATCCAGATTTGTACATTTAGGATGTTGATCTAAAACTTAAATTGAAATGTCTGTTTATATGCAATCATATCTGTATGTATGTGTAATGATGGATGCATGTAAATTTTCATGTCAATCTAATATGTGCTATTGTACTTGTCTAATTGTTTTTACGATTGCAATTCCAGGCTACAGTAGGGCCTTGCAACGCACCTGAACCTAGTGCTTGGAATGCTGTTGAGAAAAGCAAATGGAGCAGGTATGCTTATATTTACAACTTTCTCTCGTTCACTCATTTTATGATAGGCATACATGTGCCAGTGTTTGTGCGTCTGGGGGTGTGTGTGTATATGCACCATCATGCACTTATTCGTACTATATTGAGCTTTTTTTTTCCTAAAAATTTAACGGCGTTCTACATATATGATTTGCAGCTGGAAGAAGCTTGCAGACATGGCTTCCACTGAAGCAATGCGTCTTTTTGTGAAAATATTAGAGGTGTGCGCAATAAGATTTCCAGGTCCATGTTTTTGTCATGTGACCAAGAACCTTCACTAATTTATCTTGGTTTGCATTATTTTTTGAGTAGGAAGAAGATCCAGGTTGGTATTCAAGAGCATCAAACTTTGTTTCAGATCCTGTGGTAGATGTACAAATGAATGTGAGTAATCTGGAAGTTGTTTCTATAATTTTGTATTTTCTTTCCCTGTCTATTGCCAACTGATCAGGAATTAGACACAAGAGAGGTGCTTGTAGTACACCCTACTAATCATTATCACCACTTGGTCCACTCCTACATCACGCCAATGTATATCTGCCCTATAATACATCACCACCATAACTTCTGTCTCCATGTTTGTTGCACTATGCTCACATTACTTAATTTAATAAGTTATGACTGTTGGTAGGAATCCCACATAAGTTCCTTTTTTAACATCTGAAAAGATCAGTAATGGTGTAGAGTCTGATATCGATAACTTAATTCTGCAAATCTTTTAGAGACTTTATTCTTTGGCCTTACAATGAGCATGGGACTCTTCCTTATTCTTTTGTTCTTACCTAGTGATTTTCTCTGTGCGTATGTGCGATTTTTGGTTGGTTATAGCAAAGTTCAAATGTTCACCCAGTTGTCGAGAATGGGAACTCTTTCCCTGAGACCAAGACAATCTCCACTGAAAATGGGAGCATAGTGGAAGCTCAGGATAAAGATGTTGTCTCCGAAGGCTTTGGTTCAATTGGTGTTTATGATCAATGGATTGCACCTCCAATATCTGGCCATCGTCCGAAATCCCGATATGAGGTATTTGGATTTCTGTATTTTCATTTTCTTTATCTTCTCTGCTGCCTTCTTTTTGAGCAATGTGTTCTCACGATTTCAGCATGGAGCAGCCGTTATTCAAGACAAGATGTACATATATGGTGGAAACCACAATGGTCGCTACCTAAATGATCTCCATGTAAGCAACTTATTTGCATGTACACGCCTATAAACATTTGAAAATCATAAGTATTCTACGTTGGACAGTTTTCCAAGTCTTACTATAATAGTGGTGTAAATTTTTTGGGGTGTCTTTGCTATGATTCTTATATATTGGTACACTGAATGATACATTACGCATCTGAAGAAGAAAAAGAGAACAATTTTCTGAGTTGGATTATATAGCTTGTGTAGGTGGGTTCCACGTGGCACTCTTGTAATATTCATTCTTCATTTGTGAAGAAAGTGTCATTGGATATATAAGTGTTCTTAATGATTGTAGGCTCTATGGTTGTGGTGCTTCCTTTGTATTGTTATAAGTTTATATTCGAACTTGATGTTCTGTATACTTGAATTTACATGGTTGTAATTACATTTTCTTGTTCTCACATATTCGAAGTACAATACAGGCCTTGGATTTGAGGAGTTGGAGTTGGTCAAAGATTGAGGCCAAAGCTGGGGCTGAGTCACTTGAGTCACCATCTCCAGTAACAGTAACCGCACGTGCTGGTCATTCCTTGGTTAGTATAACCCTTTGATTAATATTATAATCAAGGCTCTCTTCCAAAGATACGCTTTTGGACAATATCCATCTCTTTCTGCTGAATTTTGGTGCAATGATTCAGATACCCACAGTAATGTGCAATCATTTCTCTGTTTCTGTAGATATCATGGGAGAATAAACTCATTTCAATTGCTGGACATACAAAGGATCCTTCTGATTCTATTGAGGGTACGAATTATTATCTTAGTGTCCTTTGGTTTTCTGATGGTTTGAAACTTTGGATGATATCTTTATATTTCTGCTTTAATCAGTTCCCAATAGAACCTCCATCTAGATTCAGTTCAAGCTTTTTAAGGCTGATCCTTTTGATTATTGAATATGTGATATCCAAGTAGTAAGAAAACTCATTTTTACAGTCATGCGGGCTTATTATTTTGCCTCTTTTTTATTATTTTATATTTATTTATAACCTTGATGCTTTTACTGTTTTCTTGAACTTTCTTTTTTCTTTTCTCCCTGTTTTGGCATGGCAGTGAAGGCATTTGATCTACAAACTTGCACGTGGTCATTCTTAAAGACTTATGGAAAACCACCGGTATTTATTTATTTATATTTATATTTTTGTGTGTGTATAAAATCTCATTGTAAAACACAAGGGTGGGCTTGGAATTTGGAAATCAATGTCCTTTCCTATTCATGTTTTACAGGCATCACGTGGGGGTCAATCTGTGTCCCTTGTTGGAGGTGGCTTGGTGATTTTTGGGGGACAAGATGCAAAGAGAACTCTCTTGAATGACCTGCATATTCTTGACCTAGAAACAATGACCTGGGATGAGATTGATGCCATGTAAGATATAACTGGCAACTTCAGAAGCACAAGCAATATTTATTTTTTATTTTTTGGTTGTTTGAAAGAATTGGCAAATTTTGTTAAAGGTTTTTTGCCACTGATGAAAAAGGAAATTTTGTTGCTTTCTGAAAAAAATTGGCACATCTTTTTAAGGGGTTGGGGCGGGGTAGGGTAGGCTGGAAAATATTTGTTCAAGGCATATGCTTATGTGTGGATCGACCTTTGAGGTTAATATATTTCACTTTTTCACAGAGGGGTGCCTCCTTCTCCAAGGTCTGATCACACTGCTGCTGTTCATGCTGACCGCTACCTCCTTATCTTTGGTGGGGGTTCCCATGCCACTTGTTACAATGATCTGCATGTCCTTGATTTGCAAACTGTAAGATAACTACTCTATTCTAGAATTTTTGTTTCTTGTTTTTCAGTAAAACTATCACCCATGTCTTTCACATATTTGGAATGTATAGATGGAATGGTCAAGACCCACACAACAGGGTGAGATACCAACTGCACGGGCTGGACATGCAGGTGTAACAGTTGGGGAGAATTGGTTCATAGTTGGTGGTGGTGACAACAAGAGTGGTATGTATGCTACTATTTTGGCATCTGGTTGGTTCTGGAATTCGTAGGTGTTGGTGGATCTACTTCTTAACTAGAATCCATTTTACTCCATGAAGTTAGGTATTTATCTCTTCATTATGAATTTTTGCAGGGGCTTCAGAAACTGTTGTCCTAAATATGTCTACTCTTGTTTGGTCTGTTGTAACTACTGTTGAAGGGCGCATTCCTGTTGCTAGTGAGGTAATGTATTTTTGGAAACTCTGTATAGTCAACTTAGCTTGAATGGCTTTAAGCTCTTTGCCTTAGTATTAATCATAAATCATGATGAGATGCCTGCATGAGGGGTTGGTAACATGGCCTTCTGTCAAGTGTGAGATTATTTCACCGCCAGCAGTAATGTAGTGGCACTGCTATCTGATTGTCTCCTATTTCAGGGACTAAGTTTGGCCGTAGGTTCTTACAATGGTGAAGATGTACTTGTATCATTTGGAGGGTACAATGGGCGTTACAACAATGAGGTGAGGATCAGACTCTAGTATACTTATGGCTTACTCTGCTCTTATTCTATGTTCTTGTTAAATTTGTTTCTTGATGTTAGGTTAACGTTCTTAAACCAAGCCACAAGTCAACCTTGCAATCAAGGATGATGGAAACGCCTGTGCCAGACAGTGTTTCTGCTGTGCTTAATGCTACAAATGGTACCAGAGATGTGGAGTCTGAGTTTGAAGCAGGGCAAGAAGGAAAAATTAGGGAAATCGTTATGGACAATGTTGAGTCAGATCTCATGGTATGTGACTTTGAAAAGCATGTAGAGATTTGGCCTTTGTTTTTATTTTATGTGGTACCCCCTTCTGATTGTCATTAGAACTTTTTTTTTCAACCTTATTTTTTATTTCCAGAAGTTATTTACTTTGTTAAAGTCGTCTATGGTTACCACTTTCTTAATGATCCAGTAGTTACCAGTGTCCGATAAATTTTATTGATCTTGTATTACTCTGCATCTCTGATTTTTCATGTTTTTTTGGCCACAATACTGAGTTTTAATGTTATTTTATTCACACTCTTATGCAGAAAGCAAGAGGCAAGAGTACCAATGAACATCTTATAGCAACCCTCAAAGCAGAGAAAGAAGAATTAGAATCATCACTAAGCAAGGAGAAAGTACAAACTCTCCAATTAAAGCAAGAGTTAGCAGAAGCAGAGACTCGAAACACTGACCTGTACAAGGTAACTATTATTACATGCATGCATGCATATACATAAAAAAGAGCTGGATATATTTTTGTTGCTTTTCGCTACTTTTTGTTCACAAGGAAATTATGACTGGAATCCGATCCTTTGTGATTTTGAATGGTGCTAATTTCTGGTTGGCTTCTCTTCTCGCTGGAGATTAAATGGAGATTTTTTTATTGTCCACTGTCGGTGGTGATTATCAAAATTTTCAAGGGTACACATAATTCTTGTGTATTTTCCTTTCTTAGGAATTGCCATTGATTTCCTTGTACTAACTTTGTAGGAGCTTCAATCTGTACGTGGCCAACTTGCATCTGAGCAGTCAAGATGTTTCAAACTTGAGGTGTGTTCTTATCACTTGTTTCTCGGTTGATCTAGATGTTTCCTTTGCCAAACAAGATTTCTCGCACTTTCAGTTCAAATTTTTGTTGACCTTATAATAGTTTCTGGGATGATCTGTCTGAAAAAATTGAGGTTCAGGAGGAAGGTGTTTAACCTTATGACTATTCATTTAAGCTGACCTTAGCAAGCAGCCTGATTGTGATACAATCAGGCTGCCTCGAAACATTGGTCATAATCTGGGTTTTCTGCTAATTACTCTTTGAACCTGCAGGTTGAACTTGCAGAACTTCGACAGAAGTTGCAAACAATGGAGGCATTGCAGAAAGAACTTGAACTCCTCCAGCGACAAAAGGCTGCATCCGAACAAGCAGCTTTGAATGCTAAAAGGCAGAGCTCAGGCGGCGTCTGGGGCTGGCTTGCTGGAACGCCTGGTAATGAAAAAGTGGACGATGCCTAAATAGCTGTCAAGGCCAAATGAATAGGGGTTGTTACATGATAGATTTGGTTCTCATTGAATATTTTTTAACTCCTTTTGATATATTTTTGTTATACTCAACCAAGTTCTTTCCTGTGATAGAAATAAGATATGAGGTTCTTATTGGCGAGAGGGGGAGGACCCCACTTGGGGTTTTTGCATGAATACATGTCTGCAATTTCAGTTATGTAGTTTCATGTCTGTGAGTGCTATATAATTCTTTTGGGTCACCAATTTTTGTTTGAGTTTGTATTCAAAGTGAATATATATATTAAGTGAAGTGTAGATCTCAGTGTTTATACTTTGTTGCCTTAATGGAAATACTTGAGTGACCTCTCAAATTTATCATTCCTTGAGTTATTGTGTGCTAATGTAATTATTCTATTTTCATGGAGTTATGTTTTTCATTTCATAATGTTGGAAGTAGGGGCGGGCATCAATCCGGCTGAACCGCTTCCCGTAGATTAAAAATAAAAATTGTTGAATTTTTTTATTATTGATTTTCAAGTACCAGCTCTTTGTTATTTAGTTCTTCAAACGCTCATAGATAAATGGAGGTCAAATGCACACAAAATTTGTTGCCACACATTGTATGTTCCAAATCTCAGTCGCCGTGCAAAAAGGATGTCGTTCAAATAATTTGTAGTTTTCCTATTTCTCCTTACAGTGAAAGTGTTGCTATTTTCAGCTGTTACTTTACTCATCCAGTCATGTTCCTACAAAACTTTTTACCATCATTTTTGGCTAAATTACATGTAAAGATCACAAGCCTTGAACACATTTTAAAAGATATATTGTTGGTTTCTTGATTTCTTAGGCTCAATGTTGGTTATGTATATTAAAACCAACTTTTCTTTTTTCCTTTGTCTGAAGTATTTCGAAGGTATATTCTGAATCTGAATGATAATTTTGTGATGGGTGAGAAAAATATGAAGGTAAAAAATGGGGCTTAAAGCAATGATGAAAAAAGTAAAAAACTGAAAATTGGGTGAGCACCATTATTGACGTGGCAGCGTCCTAATGGCCTTACACTGCATTGGAGAAATTATAGAGTGGTACGGTATCACCACGTCAGTTGGTGACACTCCCACTCAGAATTTGCCACGTTTCCTTATTAAAAGAAACCTTTAACTGTTTTTCGAGCATGATATTAGTTCCAATTTTACCCTTTAGGAAACAATTAAAATAAAAAATAAAAAAAGAAGAATGTAGCGGCCAATGTTGGCACTCGGCAGTGCCCTACCCCTTGTTGCCGCCCCTCCCGCTTTTCCTTCATCTTTGTTTCGCCTCTCTCTCTTTCTTGTTCCAAGAATCACTTTATTTTGTAGTTGTTTTTTATCTTCACATTCCAAAAGGTGCAAAAATTTACTCTGCATACAAAGAGTTTCTTGGGGATTTTTAGTTAAGTTTGTTTTTCTGCATAGTTAAATTAGTGATTATTTCCGTACATATTTATATTTATGAACAATTGCTCAACTCAGAAATTGCGTATGGAATTTCAAAGATCTTCTCTTGTCAAACCCACGTGGGATTGAGAGCAAAATTGGACAAAGTGAACTTGGAACAGAAACATAGAAGACAACCTAGATGAGGAAATTAAAGTAGGAGGGAGGAATAGAAACATAGAAGGAGCGGTGGAGGGGTACACACTACCATTGGGGTGGTGGGAGGTTATCGCACAATCTTGCTTTCTTCTTTTTTTACTTTGTATTTTTAATTAATTCTATTCTAAAGGATAATATTGGAAGCCAAAGTCCAGTTGTACAAACAATTAAATTTTCTCTTTTAAAATAGATGTGTGGCAAATTCTGAGTGGGTGTTTTCCCGGCTGACGTAATGATACCGTAATATTCTATAATTTCTCGTTGCGCTGGTGTTGTATTGTATAATTGCCCGAGCCATGAGAGTAGAGTGAACCTAGTGTTATTATTGGTATTCTCGCAATCCAGAAAAATCACAATTCTCCCATATTTTTCTTACCATCCAAACACCTTCTCCTTCCCTCTATCTCCCTCTCTTTAGGGTTTATTTGCATCCCTCAAAATCCCACTTTCTGGCACTTTCCTGGAAACTCTCGTACTTTCATATCCCCATCACGAGACGATAGAAAGGTATGCTTCTTCATTGGGACCCCCAAACTCTGTTTCTTTAGAGCTTCGGAGGATTTCAATTATAGGCGGTTCGAAGATCTCTGTGATGAACAACGATTTCGAATTGGACGGAAAATCAGGTACCACTGTAGAGGTTGAGGAAGCTAGAGCTAGGGTTTCCGAAGGCGGTGCCGGTAGTTCAAAAGATGAAGCTAGGGTTTCAACAATGGAGTTCGATTCAGGAGCTCCGGAGAGCGAGGCTGGTGATTCTCGGGTTTCCAGAGGCGGAAGATCTGAGGAGGATAGGGCCAGGGTTAGGGTTAGTCCGGAGAGTGACGTTCGGAATGTAGATAAAGTGATGGAATCGAAGGGCTCTGGAATTCAGGTGGAAAAAGCGAGTGTCTTTGTATTCCATGATGATCAGGACGATGTATTTGACATTGGAAGGGTCGAAATCGACGAGGATTATGAAAAATTTGAGAATGAAAATGATGAAGATGACCGTGCAGATGTGGAGAAGGGTAAGTCTTATGAGCACCGGTCTTTGTTATCTGAGTTTGATGAGTTTGTGGCTAATGAGAAGAGTGGAGTAGCTCTTGGAACGTCGAGGGCACTTAGCTATGGGTTCGAAGTGGGTGATTTGGTGTGGGGAAAGGTAAAATCTCATCCATGGTGGCCGGGACACATATTTAACGAGGCATTTGCGTCGTCTCAGGTGCGCCGGACAAGAAGGGAAGGTCATGTGTTGGTGGCTTTCTTTGGTGATAGTAGCTATGGGTGGTTCGACCCGGCTGAGCTTATCCCATTTGATCCCCATTTTGCTGAGAAATCTCTGCAGACGAATCACAGGACCTTTGTGAAGGCTGTGGAAGAGGCTGTTGATGAGGCGAATCGCAGGTGTGGAGTTGGTATGGTTTGTAAATGTAGGAACCCCTATAATTTCCGGGCCACAAGTGTGGAAGGGTACTTTGTTGTTGATGTGCCAGATTATGAGCCGGGAGCAGTTTATTCTGAGAATCAGATTAAGAAGGTGAGGGATAGTTTTAAGCCGAGTGAGATCTTGTCTTTCTTAAAGCAGTTGGCCGTGTTACCACACAGTGATGATCAGAAGAGCCTTAACTTTAATAAGAATAAGGCTACTGCATTTGCCTTCCGTAAGGCTGTGTTTGAAGAGTATGATGAGACCTATGCTCAGGCATTCGGAGTGCATCAAGGACGCTCTTCTCGTAAACTAGTTGGCCCGGTGGACCCACCTCGAGGTATTTTAATACTTTCTCATAATCGTTGGTGATAAATAATAATCAATTTTGGGCCTTCATGCTGTAACTTACTTGTGTCTGTGCTAGTGCAAGGAATGCTTGAGTAGCTCTTGTGGAGATCACCCTCCCCTTCTTAAGGGTGGGACTGCATAATAACTGTAGATGAATGTGCAGAACTAAAATGTTATCAGTTACAAGCCGTAGCTTTCATGCATTTAATTATTGGCTTTTATGTGGATAATGAAATGCTTAATCAGTTTACTGTGATGATTGTATTTTGATGGGAAATTTGGGATATAAACCTGAATTTTGTTTTTGTAATTGGTATTAAAGATGATCATAGACCTTGAATGTCAAAGGTCTTGTTGTTATACCAAGTAGCCTTTCACATCATGATTTATGCCAGATTCTTACCCTTTCAGTGTTCCAAAATTAGACCTAACAGATTACAGATTTGGTTTTTTTGGTGTATGTTTTTGTTTCTATATGCCTTTCCAGTGAATTTGGGTTGACTCATAACATTGTGCAAGTATGGAGACAATGTCTAGAAAACCCTCAGGGTATTACATTACTATTTGCATCTTCAAGTACCCTGAAGTGTCCTTAACTCCTGCCCAATTCTTCTGTTTTAATTTGCATAAAGCAAAATTAGACGTTTTTCCATCTGTATTTTAAGTTGAATTCACTTAACATGATTTTCTAATGGGATTGTTTCCTTAACCAGCTCCCTTGAGTGGTCCATTGGTGATTGCTGAAGTTCTGGGTGGGCGAAAGAGTGCCACGAAACCCATGAAAGTCAAGGACCATTCAAAGAAAGACAAATACGTTTTCAAACGGAGAGATGAGCCCAGTAATTTGAAAACCCATCTAACTAGCCAGGGCCAAGCTAGTTCCTCAGCCCCATCTGCTGACTCAGAGGGATCAATACCATTAGTAGATGGGGATTATACGGTACAGAAGAGGGCCCCAGCTGTCTCTACAAAGACTCGGGTTCCAGCAAAACATGAACAGACAGATTCTATCAGCAGCAGTTCTAAAGTTTCAAGTACGGATGTATATGGGAAAGAAGCTGTAATCATAGATCAGGCAACAGCAAACAGCTCTCTCACCACCCAAGATGTTACTAATGATGCAAAGCCATCTCTTGACAAGGGAAGAGGGGCTCTGCAGGAAGTAAAAGAGGGAGATACAAGCACAGAATGTCTTGATTTATTTGGGGAAGGGACCAAGCAACGTACAAAAGATGGTACATCACAACCTTTAAAGCAGGAAGGTGAGGGTTTGGTTGAGTTTAAATATGAAGAGAGTGCAAAATTGTCTGGATCACATGAAAATTTTCAACAACCTTCAAGTTCTTTGAAGAAAGTGGAAGGAGGTTATGAATTGAATCAAGTTCCTGATGGTCGTGGTGTTGGAGATCCTTCCCCAGTTGAGGCAAAGAGTTCAGGTGGGATGAAAGCTATTGGTGGAGTGAAAAAAGCAAAGGTTCTTAAACGGCGTGCAGAGGACTTGCGCACTGAGGACTCTATGATGGGGGATAACAGGAAAAAGAAAAAGAAGAAACAGTTAGGTTCTGAAGCAAGCTTCAGAAACCCACAGAAGCCTTTGACTTCTGGAAAGGTACATTCCTCAGGGAGTAAAGTTGCAGGAAATTCCAAGGATGTAGGTTTGGCTCCAAGAGAGGACATCCAGGTAGAACATCATAAGAAAGATGTTGTTGCCAGTAATAACTCATCTGAAACTGTTGGAAAATTTCCGATCGTTGGCTTGGGAGATGTGGAGCTTGAACTACCACAACTGGTAAGTGATTTGCAAGCCCTTGCCCTTGATCCTTTTCACGGTTTTGAAACAAACAGCCCTGCAATTGTTCGGCAGTTCTTTCTGCACTTCCGGTCCCTTGTCTACCAGAAAAGCTTGGTTCTGTCACCACCCTCAGAGACTGAACCTGTTGAAGTTCGCTCCTCTAAATCTCCATCTGGTGTCAAAGCCTCTGACATATCGCCTACAGAGCAAGTCAGAGATTTGCCATTCTCAAAGGCAGCAAAACCCATGTTCAGATCCGACGACCCTACCATAGCTGGGCGGAAGCGTGCCCCATCTGACCGTCAAGGAGATATCGCAGCTAAGAGGTCCAAGAAAATTAGTGATCTGAAAACATTGGCTGCAGAGAAGAAGGCCAGTCAGAGAGCTTTAGAATCCAAGCGTGTGGAGGCCAAAGAATCGGCGGTACCGCTTCTGCGAAGGTCAATCAAGCCAGGTTTTGCGAAGAAAACAGAGCCTGCATCAAAGGCAGTTGAGCCCACAATGCTGGTGATGAAGTTCCCTCCCAAAATATCTCTCCCGTCACCTGCAGAACTGAAGGCAAAGTTTGCACGATTTGGGCCTATGGATCAGTCTGGTCTCCGTGTCTTTTGGAAGTCCGCAACATGCCGGGTTGTCTTTCTGCACAAATCTGATGCACAAGGAGCATTGAAGTTTGCTACCGCAAACAGCTCACTTTTTGGCAACTTTAGTGTGAGGTGCCAAATTCGAGAAGTGGGTGGTCCCGAAGTTCCAGAGTCCGGCAAGGGCGACAATCCCAGTGAGATCCCACGGGTTAAGGATTCGTCAGTGGGGCAGTCACCGGCAATGGCATCGGCACTCAGACAGCAGCAGCAGCAGCAGCAGGCTCTTCTTACACAGAGTGCAGTCCAGCTCAAGTCAATTCTGAAGAAGTCGTCGGGCGAGGAGCCGGGAGGGCAGGTAACTACCGGTGGCAATGGAAATAGTAAAGGAACTGCACGTGTAAAATTCATGTTAGGTGGGGAAGAAAGTAGTAGAAGTACTGATCAATTCATGATGGCTGGTAATAGAAATAACTTCAACAACAACAACAACAGTGCTAGTTTTGCTGATGGTGGTGCTGCTGCACATTCTTCTTCTACTTCTTCTATTGCTATGGATTTTAATACTAGGAACTTTCAAAAGGTCAATGCTCCTCCAACTTTTTCATCATCGCCTCCTATACTTCCTCTTCCCCATGGTCCTCCACTTCCTCCTCCTCCTCAATATGCAAAGCCCCCACATAATAAATTTCCACCACACCATTCTGAAATGGCACCGCCCAGAAATAGTCAACATCTCAACACACCCACTGCATTTCCAAGTGCACCCACCGTCGATATTTCACACCAGATGCTAAGCCTGTTGACTAGGTGCAACGATGTCGTAGCCAACGTCAAGGGCTTGCTTGGCTATGTGCCGTACCATCCTCTTTGATGGTGAAACATGGGCAAAATTATATGGCATAAAGCAAGCCAAGCCAAGCCAAGGCAAAGACAGACAAGACAATTACATGGAATCCACCACATGAATTGAAATTGCGGCATTTTGGGCTTACAAAATCGACGTTTGAATTTCGGGGTGAAGCGGTTCAAGAGAGAGAGAGCTTCTCAAATGTAGTAGTTTGTTTACAAGTTGAATACTCCGATTGTACTGATGAGATGATGATACTGATGATAGTGCCATCATTTTCTTTTTCTTTTTCTTTTTCTTCTTCTTCTTCTTCTTCTTTTGGGTTTTAACTTTTGTTCTTTGGGCCAGTTTCCATAATCTCTTTATTTTTAGGCTGTGCTGCTTTATTGCTCGTACATATAAACAGTTTTGACGATTCGCTTGAGGCGTAGCGTAGCGTATGTTTAAAATGACGAAAGCCCCCCAATGTTTATGTTTATGGTTTGATTGATTGATTGATTGATTGATTGATTGAGAGTGGAATTTATTTCCATGACATAAAATAGCAGTGAATTTTGTTAGGAATTGGCATAAAGGTGAAAGACGTACGTACAACAACTTTATAAAAAGAAAAAGAAATGTTTACATGCGAAAGAAAATGAGTTTGATGATTGAGACAATGTTAGCCGTTATGCCTTTCATTATTTTTCTAGCATCCACCAGAAACTTCTTAATTCAATTCCTTTTTTTTTTTTTTTTTGGTCAAGGTAATTCAATTCCTTTTGTCATTCAAATTCCAAATCCTTGATCGTCCAACTTGCAAAGTTGGAAAAGGAGTGAGCATTTCAACCTACCAAGCGGTGGAATTGGAACTTATCCTAATTACGATTTATTTATTTATTTTGGGTGGATAGATCACATCAAACTATTCCTTCTCCCGTAAGCATAAAGATAAAAGCAAAGCGGCTGCCTTTTCTCCACACGTGCCATATTTCAATTTCCAATTGTAAAATATACCCTTTTGTTTAATCCCTACCATCCAATAAATCCAACGGGTTGTTCTACTTGTATCCTAACTAAAACTAGAAGCAGCCATGGTTATGGATTTGTGTTGAATGAATGCATAGCCTAATTAGAAGAAGCTTCTTTAATTAGGGACTTGGTGGTGATAATTAAAACAAACTTACCAAATCAACCAGAGGCTTAGAGTCGGCGCTGGTGGGGTGCAATGGAGGAACAACTTAAGTCGGTAAAAATAAACAGATAAACAGAAGAAAAAAAAAGAAACAAATTTGTCAAACATAATAAGGAAAGGATTTTGAAGGATATTGAGATTGAAATCGTCTCTAATTATTTACAGCAAACCATTACAATCTACCTCTTTGTATTCATATAATAGTAAAAGAATCCAAGAGGAAGAGAAGAGGGAGAGACAGAGACGAAGATAAAGATTAAATATGGGGATTTGCTGGGGTGCCCTAACTGATAACTCAATACCAACAAGGTCATCTGGATACAGGTATTTCATTATTATTCAATTTTGTTTAAACTTTTCTCTTCCTTTCTTTTTTGTTGTTTATTGTTCTTGTTGCTCATTAGGTTCCAAATTAGCATCTCAAGTTTCACATGAATAGAATTAGTATATAAAATTTAGAAATTTATTGTAAATCCTAAATTTAGGTTAGTTTATCAAGATAATGAGTCCGCTATGTTCGTACCCCTTTCTTATGCAGCTATGGTTGTGTAAAAAGGAAAAATAAGAATTTTATTTTGATTGATACATTTAAAGTCGATATCAATATCAATATCAAGCAAAACGGCTTACGCGCTACTTACGTGGTTTCAGCCTTTCTATTCGATGTGGGACTGTGGCGGGCCCCATTCCCCCATTTAACATGTTAATCAGCAAATTGACTTCCTTCCTCTTCCTTAATCAATCTTTTGAAGACCTATTCCCCCGTTTAACATCTTAATCAGCAAATTGACTTCCCTCCTCTTCCTTAATCAATCTTTTGAAGACTAAACCTAATTAATTACATGGGCAATTTTCCCGTGAATCTTAGCCACAAAATTGGATTTTAAGTTCAATTAGGTAACAATATACAATTGGGATTTCTTGTTTTTAATTATGTATCACGCACACGCTCCCATATAAAATAAAAGAATTCACAGTTCACGCGCATCCGCGTAAATTTATAAACCAAAATAATAAATAAATAAACAATCGTGGTTCAGACCCAAAAAAAAGCTTCTTTCTAGGAACAATTTCACAATATTTCTTAAAAAGCTGAAAAAAATTGTAACCACTTATCCAAAACTAAAATGAAATAAATAAAAAATTATAAATCAGAGAAGCTTCGTGGAACCTGGCCTTGCTTTTGCTCCTCTATATATTGTTTTGCTCTCCATATCAACTCCCAATTCACAGTTCTCAAGTTCGCAAATCAAAAGAAATATCAAACACTTTCTCTGATTTCAAGTTTCAAGTTTCCAACTCAAGAATTCAATCGTCATGGAGTGCAGGCCTTTGGAGATAACAATCGTCTCAGCCAGCGACCTCAAGGACGTCAATATGTTCTCCAAGATGGACGTCTACGCCGCCGTTTCGGTCTCCGGCGACCCCCGCAACAAGAAGCAGAAGACCAAGACCCCCGTCGCCAAAGGCGGTGGCACAAACCCTAAGTGGAACAACTACTCCATCAAGTTCACTCTCGACGACGCCGCTTTGCTCCACAACCGCCTCACCCTCAACATCAAGCTCGTCTCCGAACGCAGCTTGGGCGACACCAAGATCGGCAAAGTCCAAATCCCCCTCAAGGAGCTCTTCGACAGCTTGGGCGGCGGCGATGATCAGAAGAAGCAGATCAAGCACGTCGGTTACAGCGTTCGAACTTCCAGTGGGAAGCCCAAAGGATCCATCAATTTCGGGTACAAATTTGGGGACAAGTTCACAGTTCCTGTTCCTGAGGCCCATAAGAAAACCCATGAGCCCGTGATGGCTTACCCATCTGGGCATCCCGGGTCAAGCTCCGGGTACCCGCCCGCGGCCCATGCGGGTCCGTATCCGCCTGCCCAAGCTTACCCGTACCCGCCGTCTGGTGGGTAACCACCACCGCCTCATCAGCA